TGATCTGCATGTGATAAAATCAGTGATATTTGCTATCTGAATATGCTACCCATGAAATATATTTATTAGCTCTGCCAGAAGCTTTATTTGTGTTATCCTTCCTGAAGAGAGGTTATGTTGTGATGTTCTTCCTGAAGAGGTTATGTTCAAAGTAATACATTACGACTTTTCCCCGTTTTTTTTTCGTTTTTACATAATGTCTAAAAAAACCTAGGTATATTAGCAGCAGATTTATTAGCAGCAGATTCAACATGTATACAGTTTTTTACATCATATTAAATATATAGACTTTACAATTATTGTATAATATTTAAATCCAGCTATCTATTCTTAAAATTACCCACTATTGCTAATAGTTTTAGATGCACAATTGTATTCAAAATACTGTGTGTGCACCCCATTCACATTGTTAAGTGTAACTTTTCCATGGAGGTTCTTAATTCTAGTTTACAAAGAGAAAAAGAAATATAAAAATAGATCAAACAAATTCAAAGCTATTATGTTTTATCTTAAATTTTAGGAACTTAATACCTTTAATGCTACAGGTTTTTATATTACATAATTAATGGCGTATTGACTATCAATAATCCATCTTGTTAATTCCTTTTTAACAGTAGAATATCTCAATCTCTTAATACTATTTGGCACCATCATTATAAACTTTTGGACCTATATGTATACAGTAAACGTGACTCTGGCAAGCTGTGTGTCTAGGGTTTTGCAATTTTACTTTTGCATGAGCAGCACTTCTTGTATTTTGGCCATGCTGTAAGTATTCTTTGTAGAAATCATATTTCATCATAAATCTTATAAGTGATTTTAAATAGAGCTGCTCTAGGTTCAGTATTTTACTGTCTCTAAAAACAAGTTCAGATGAATATCGTTTCTGTTTGAAAAGCATAATTTTTATGATCCATTTCTGAGCTACCTGTAACTTGGATAACGTTGCTAAACTTGTATTTCCCCAAACTACGAAACCATAATTAATTACAGATTCTGTTAAAGCAAAATAAACTGTTTTAAGAGTTCTGAACTCTAATATTTCCCTTAATTCATAAAACTTGTGAATACGTTTTCTAATCTTTGTTGTAACATATAATGTCACACAAAACCGACATACTGTACACTTTTCAAGATACGTCATACCACTGGCGATTAAGGTTCTTATGACTTTTTTCTGGAACATGAATGAATCGATGGTTGAAGTAACCAAAAATATATTACGAGGGTGGTTCCAGAAGTACTCGGCGTGACCTAGAGATGGCGATAGTTGTTGGAAAAATATCATTGTATTAGAAAGTATGCAACCTATAAAGCATATTTGCCAAATTTGTTTAGTATCTGTTTGGCAGCCATCAATACTGAACGTTTTCAGTGAATTTGTGAAAATGGAGAAAATTGGTCATCGTTATGTGGTACAATACTTTTATTTCAAAGGTCTCAGCCCAACCAATATAAAAGCTGAACTGGATTCTACTCTGGGTGAGTCTGCTCCTTCGTTTACAACAGTAAAATTATGGTAGCAGAGTTTATACGAGGCCGTATAAGCTGCCAAGACGAGCATCGCAGTGGTCGACCAAATGAGGTGACGACTCCAGAAATGGTGAAGAAAATTCACAAAGCGGTACTGAATAATCGTCGACTGAAAGTGCGCGAGCTACCAGACATAGTAGGCATTTCAAAAAGTGCGGTTCATCGCATATTATCTGAAAATTTTGACATAAAGAAAGCTGAGTGCAAGATGGTTGCCGCGATTGTTTACAATTGAGCAAAAACAGTGTCGTGAAGATGTTTCCATTGAGTGTTTAGCGAAGTTTTATAGCAACAAAGCAGAATTTTTGTGTCGTTTCATAACCATGGATGAAACATGGGTCCATCCCTTTTAGACCCGAGCCAAAAGAACAATCAAAACAATGAACTCAAAAGGGACAACCGGCTCCAAAGAAGGTGAAGACCGTTTCATCTGTAGGCAAAGCTATGGCGTCGGTTTTTTGGGATAATTTTCATTGGCTATCTTGAAAAAGGTAAAACTATCAACGGCGAGTATTATGCGAACTTATTGCAACGTTTTAGCGATGAAATCAAGCAAAAACGGCCGCATTTGGTTAAGAAGAAAGTGTTGTTTCATCAAGACAATGCACCAGCTCACAAATCCGTTATCGCAATGGCGAAAATTAACGAATTAAAGTTTGAATTGCTACCTCATGCACCCTATTCACCAGATTTAGCCCCCACGGAATATTTTCCAAACTTGAAATAATTGCTCAGTGGTCAAAGATTTTCCAACGATGAAGAAGTGATGTTAATGGCAATTTGAGGAGCAAGACAATTCTTATTATAAAAATGGTATCGAACTTATTGAACATCGCTGAGAAAAGTGTATAGAGCTCAAAGAAGATTATGTTGAAAAATAAATAAAATTTTGGTATTTTCTTCGTAGGGTCGGGTACTTTTGGGACCACCCTCGTACAAGAGACTTGAGTCTAGCAAATGGTTCAAGTCAACAGCAAACTCTGATATTTATTCCATAATTTTCAACACATTTTTACTGCTCATATCTGCATTCGGAACTGTAGGAGTGCCAAAGAGCCATTACTTGTCAGATATTAGTAGATGTCTTATGG